AAAGCGTGCGGATTTGTTATTCTGCTGACTTGAGAGCTGGAGCTAAATAACACTTGGTCTGCAAATTCTGATAGAAGTTGTAGGAGGATATACTGTATTTAATTTAAATGCCCTTTAATAGCATCTTCTTGTTCAGCTTGGGATGCTGTCATTTTAAAGGTGGGATCTGAGAAGGTTTAACCTATAGGGAGAGGGAGGGAGTAATAACGGGGCAAAGGGGCAGAGGAACACTACAGAGGCGATGAGTGAGTGAGTTATAAACTAAGCGTTGCAAACAGCAATAATCACAAACTTGGCCTGTTATCCAAACAGTTGTTTTATGCCCCAAGGGTTTGGTGTGTTATCAGGGTTTAAATGCTTTTAGCGCTGTAAGTGTAAATGTTACACATGAAGTTGCTTTGGTTCTGTAATGAGACGGCAGTTTGGGAGGGAGTGTTGCTCGCAGTTACCTCCCAGCTTTACGTGGGGGCCAGTACTTCTGGGTATTTTCCAGCTGCTTTGCTCCAGAGCGCTCCTCGCACGCAGACACACACCCCCTTCGTGCTCTCTGGCTCTCTCGCTCGCTCGCTCTCTTGCTCGCTCTCTTTGGGGGGACGGGGAAGCCCGGCTGCCGGCGCAACAACGCCACTCAGTTGCAGTTGCGAACACTTCGCTTCTCTGGAGGATCGCAGCCAGAAGCGAAGAAAGAAAGCGAAAGAGGAACTGGGCGGCCGCGGGAGTGAGCCGGGGCAGGACAGCGTCCCGCGCGCGCCTTCGGGGCAGCGGAAGTGAGCGCGGGCGGGGGCGGCGGCGGCGGCACTGTCCGCCGCCTTCCCGGAGCCGGCGCATCTGCACGGGTCGCGCACGGACTGGCGTGCACACCCCAAGGTGCACAGGTGAATGGCCCAACCCTTGAGATGCCCCTCCAGACTCGGGGCCTGCTCCCTGGCACTGGGCAGCCGGCCCTCTGGGCTCCAGCTCGGTCGCCACCCGCCCCGTTAGGGCGCAGCGAGGCCTAGAGCGACTCGGTGTGGGGCCAACCCTGGAATCCTGGCCCCTGGGTAGAACCCTGGCCAGCGCACCTTCCTCCCTTAGCCACTGGGCAGCAGCGTGTAGGCAGCTTTTTACGCAGAGACTTGGGTCAGTCACGTGTCAAGCGGGCCAGGAGAAAGCACTGCTCCCTGAGCATTTCCACTTGGAATAACTAAAAAGAGCCCGACCTCTGGACATCAGTCCTGTGTGAGGCGTTGCATTCCGCCTTAAAGTGCAGAAACAAAATAAAGCTCTGAAAAGGGGTCTCTCCGCATCCCCTCCTTGCAGTCAGGTAGGGCTAGGAGCTGCCCACTTGGCAGGAGAGCTTCCGTGGGTTTGGTGGCCGTGGTGCTGAATCGGCCTGCTGGTGTGGGAGCGCTCGTTGGACTACACTATACAGGCAGGAGAAGATGAGAGCTGCTGAGCTGGGGGCTGGCAGGTGTGGCCCACGGGACCTACTTAGGCCACTCCAGAAGGGGGAAGTTGCTAGTTGGAAGTCCTGGCTCCAGAGCAGCCCCAAGGTGACAAATGGGAATGGCTTGTGGTCTCCACACAGGCAGCCAATTCGCTGCTTGACGGACCCCCCCACCCAAGCTGTCACTCCCTCGTCAGACTCCCAAAAGTACTGAAAATATTTCTTCTGTAAGGTGGTGTGTTGCCATTCAGTTTGGCACACCTATCCAGCGCCCAAGATGCAAACTCAGTGTGTGCACTCGGAGTCCCTAGAGCCAGACATGTGGGTGGCACACAGTCCCCAAGAAGTGCTGGAGGACTGGGACTTGCAGACCCACACCCCATCCCTAGCACCTGCCACAGGACTCAGCCTTCTGGCCCCCAAATTCCCTACAGTTCAGGACAGTAACAGGTGTCATCAAATCTGAGACACAAAACCAAAGAAGACTACATTTTTCACAGCGACCATGTTCTCTTCCATCAAAGTAACAGGACATGGAAAGGGAAGGAAGGGATAATACATCCCAATGGCTAAAGTTGAGGGCTGATCCTTTTGCAAGCCTTAGGCTTTAGAACTGCGGGGGCGTTCAAAGGCTTGACAAATAGCCCAAATCCAAAGAGGAAGGCAGAAAGCACCCGTTCTGTGTGCAGGTGTCAGACAAGGGGGACTACTGCTGTGTGCTCCAGTCTTGAGGAGAAAATGAGCCCTGAGATGATCTCAACACCAACACTGAGCAAACGCAAAGGCTGGACATTCTAGACTGCCCCTTCTGCCCAGTGCCTATCTCCTAGGGTAGCGCCAGTCCCCAGAGGGCCCTGAAATCCTGCAAAGGCCACCTGACATTTCTGAGCCTTGACTCCCTACTGCACAGATCACACTATTGTGACTATTGCCTGCACTTCTTAATACTGACCGCCAGATTCTATTGTCATTGAAATGTTTTATAAATGACAAAACACACACACACACACACACACACACACACAGACACACACACACTCGCCTCGCACTTCCGACCCAAAGTGCACGACGGCGCGCTCGCTCCCCTTCTTTCTCTAGAGAAAATAGCCAGCATCCAGGCAGGCTCGCGGCTTTCAGCCACCTGGACTGGCGCCCGCGTGCACGGCCATGGGGGCGCAGGGCTGCCCCCCCTAGACGGGACCCCTAGGTGCCCTCCTTGCGCGCGACGGGCCGCGCCAGGGTTGCCGAGCGCCAAGTTGAGCTCCCAGAGAACTTGATACTCAGTGAGGAGCGATGCTGTGCGGAGCGCAGCGGGGAAAAGAAGCCGCTTTTGTGCAGAGGAGAGTTTGCTTCCGTTATCCGAACGGGTTCTTCCCGCTCCTGCTGGGCGGGCGGCTCGGTCTCCCCCATCCCACCGCACCAGCTTGGAAGGTGGGGACGGCGGTCCGGCTAGAGGGACCCGGGTGTGCCCCGCCGACCCACCCCGATACGCCCCTTTCGACCGAGGAAACGAATAAATTAGCAGCCGCAATTGAGACCAACTCTGCCAATTCCAACCACCAGGGAAACAAAAAGAGAAAACACGTGCGTTTATTTCCTCGCGTCTCCCCAGCGACTTCTCCACATTTTTGCACCCGCGTTGCTTGAGGGGGTGCGGCGGGGTGCGTGTGGTTTGGGAGAGCCTCTCCCAGCGCATCCTCCTCCTTCTCCTCCTCCTCCTCCTCCTCCTCCCTGCGCTGCTGGGTGGGGGTGGCGGGAGTCCACCGCTTCCCCCAACCTCGGCCAGGGATCCCCGCTGTCCCACTTCCTCCCCTTTCTTCCGCCCTATGAGCGGGGAGAGGAGTTGCGGGCGGCGGGGTGAGGAGTGGGGGTTGTTGGGAGCAACCCCCGTGGGATGCGGGGCTAGGGCTCCGTTCCCATCCCGCGCCCCCACTTTGCCGGAGCTGCTGC